TCACATGCAGGCAATCTCTTGGAACATCATTCTTCTGGAGTAGCCAACTGGTCATCTATTTGGCTAGAGCTAGTGGAAGAATATGGCTGTTTTAAAGGAAAGGCATCCTGGGAGATCACCTGTAGTACAGGTGATCCCCTGGGACATCTCTCCAATCAATGCCTGTCCTGTTCTGATGAGGACTCCCATCTTAAGTCTACAGTCTTGTTATGTCAGGCTTTTAGCAGCTATATAATGTAAAAGCTTTTGGTCATTTTGTCCTGCTACCACCATGCCTCTCAACCATTTCTTATTCATTTCCTGTCATTTCTTCTTTGTTCACACTGAATGTATATCCTGTTCTTAACTGCCCTTTTCTGTGTGCATTTCCCGATTTAATTGTAATTGCTTCAGTACCGTGTGCATTATATAGGTTTTGAAGAAAGCAGAGCATGATACGTATGTATAATGATGTATGTCCCCATCTGATGGGGGAAACACAGAAAATTACATTCTGTAGCAGCTGAATAAAAATCAAACATTTCTAGTTTTGTTGCTCTGTGTAAAAACTGAATTATATAAACCTAGGTTATGCTTTTTAAAGTGTGCATGTGCTTATTATTTCTATTTTCTATAGTTCATCTAAACCAATTTTTGAGAACTGTTCCCATGGGTGCACAATGGACAGTTTTTTGTTTAGTAGACAGATGGAGACAGCACAGACAATAGATGAAATACAGTCAAATATAGTCTTATTGAAAAACTGAGCTTCAGACAAGTCTTTCACATTCTGAGTTATTCAGTCAGACCAAAAGGATCCAGACATCTTAGTAGTCACAGACAAAAGTATCTTTGAAACACATAGGTGATATAGTATCACATGTGCTTCAGAAACTGTGACTTCTTTAATAAAAGGGTAAGAATATAAAATGTCATAAAGTAACAGGAAATTGTCTAGGCAAAATTAACATACAAATTACAGGGCAGGCAGCAGCTCATGATCTGACCCACTGAACAGCAATTGTATTATTTCTAAAGAAGGGTGAATAAAAAACCTAGGCTTTCAAATGAGCAATGACATCTGCCCCAACTATTTTATTCCTATTTTTAGGAAAGGGCTATGTAGTGCAAGGTATCATGACAAGTGGAAGAGTTTGCTGACAAAGTACACACAGAAAATGCACACATAAGTAAGCTGAGATGAGAAGAAACTTGCATGCATGATGTTTCAAAAACAATATTTATTTTGTCATATTGATTGCAATATACTGGTATGCTAATAGTGTTACCTCCAGTAGGCCACAGAATATAGTATATGATAATGAGAACACTGCTGCTACTCTCTAGACTTTCTCAAGATGGCAACTCATCAGGCATAAACCCCATTAAATTCAATGGAGCTTGCTTCTGAGCAGATATATGTTACTGCACTGGAAGACATGGAGTTCAAAAGAGAAGAAAAATATTGCTTCACATGCTCCTAAAATTAACAAAGTAAGCTCAGAATATGGAGTTGGAATCATTTGATATAATTTGTGGCTTGGCATTGTCAAGCTGGGGTTTGGACTATTATTACCTCTTTGAACTACTCACTCATCCACACCACATCACAAACACCTTATACAAATCCTGTTTCAAACAAGAACTGTCATACATTCAAGCAGTGCAATGTGGTAGGGACCCAAACCAAACCTTGAGGTCTTCAGATCTACAAAACGTATTCCATTCTTTAGATATTTGTACCTTGTTAGCCTCTGAACACTCTCTGATACAGGCACAACTGAGTTCATCAGGCAGCCTTGGGCCTGGGCCAGATGCTTTCATAGCAAACGCATTTTGTTGATTTATCATTTTAAGGGAATTTGCAATTCAGCTTGGCATGTTCTTCCCTTTAAACATGTTCTAGAAATATCCAAATAAATTTGGATGTGTGTTTATCCACCTGTTAGCACCCTAGCTCCAAGACCTTGAAATATAACTACCCGAAACTTGGCATACATACTTAGGGCACTCTAGACTTTGTACCATTTTTTGTTGATTTGCTTTAAAGCTATTGCTTTTCATCAACTTACATGCAAGTCTTTTGCAGGTAGAACCTATCTGGTCAATTATAGAGAAAGGCAGAGCACCTGCTGCAACCTTAGTAAAGCCTTCTGAAGGAAAACGTTTTTCCACTTCAGCTGAATTACTGATATTATGAATGCTCCATGTTAAAATAATTAACCATTTTCTAACAGTGTTGGTCTAGAAATATGCATTAAAGTGTCCTGTCAAAACATGTTACCTTGTTCTTGAAGGTTAAAATAATCAATTATTTTAACAACTTGTAATATCATTAGTGTAGCTCAATGCTACAGACAAGGCACAAGGGTTAGGCAGAACAGAAAGTGGAAAATTTATTTTTATTTATTTATTTATTTATTAAAACATTTTTATGCCGCCCCATTCGCCGAAGCCTCGGGGCGGCTTACAACAAAAAGATTAAAATAACATTTTAAAATATATACAATAAAATACAAATATATAATATAAAACATACACTATAAAACAAGCCGCCCTGGCCAAATAAAATTCAATAATATTAACATTTAAAATACTGCTTAAATAAAAAGGTCTTCGCCTGGCGCCGAAAAACAAATAACGATGGCGCCAGGCGGACCTCTCTGGGGAGCGCATTCCATAACTTAGGCGCCACCGCTGAGAAAGCCCTCCTCCGAGTAACCACCCTCCTAACTTCTTCCATGGAGGGCTCCCGGAGAAGGGCCTCTCCCGCCGATCTCAGGGGGCGGCTGGGCATATAAGGATGTAAGCGCTCCTTCAGGTAACCAGGACCCAAGCCGTTTAGGGCTTTATAGGTCATTACCAACACCTTGAATTGGGCCCGGACTTCAATGGGAAGCCAGTGAAGCTGACGGAGAACTGGAGTCATGTGAACATAACGTCCAGTCCCCGTCAGCAGCCTGGCAGCTCTATTTTGGACCAATTGAAGTATCCGGACCGTCTTCAAGGGTAGCCCCACGTAGAGCGCGTTACAGAAGTCCAGACGGGAAGTCACCAACGCATGTGTCACTGTCGCAAGGCAGTCATTCTCCAGATAGGTGCGCAGCTGATGAATTAGCCGAAGCTGGAGGAAAGCGCTCCTCGCCACTGCTGTTACCTGAGCTTCCAGTGAAAGCTCTGGGTCGAGGAGCACTCCCAAGCTGCGAACCTTGTCCCTAAGAGGGAGTGCAACCCCATTCAGGACAAGGTTCAATTCACCCTCTCCGAAGCTCGATCCACCAACCAAAATTGATTTGATCTAGCATGGATGTAAATCATGTTATGTTCAGAATACAGATTTGTGCCATTTTTTAAAATGAAAATGCTGGATGCTACATTATACAGAAATGAAATGCAAGCTAAGCATCACCAGTTGTCAATGATGTATCTGCTACAACTCAATCAGCTGTCTAACAGTTTAAATCAACATCTAGCAGCTTCCATATCAATGTTTATAGCTTATTTCCATCTTCCCAGCTGGGATGATTTTATTTCCCAGACAAAGCTGCAGGAAGACAATAATAGAGTTTAGTATTACAAACCTAATCAAACCTGCCACAGCTAGAGGCATCCAGATAAATTGAAACCTGGAGATTAGATTATGTTTGTCTTTAAGGAGAAGTTGCAGTAATGTTAAGTCATCTTGTGAAGCATGTGGAATATGAAAGAAATTATATATAAAACTGAATTGCATGAGCCAGCCCTTCAGATCATATAGCAGAAGAGACCTTGCATCATTTTTGTATTTGAAGTGAGTTCAATATAGCATTAGTCTGCAGATTTTTATGTATTTTTAATGAAACAAAGGAAGACTCCCTCTAGATTTTGCATTCTGAAACTACTGCTTCACAGCAAGTCTGATCCTGGGTCAAAAAGCTGTAATAATTAGGTTTATGTAACACTGCACATGCTCACAATATTTAACATTCATTCTCATTTCCTGTTTTTGTGCATCCATAAAACAAACCAGGATGCCACAGTAGACAGGCCTTTGGTAGGTTCTAGGCTGATTCACGCATTATCTCAGTAATGTATACAGTATATGTCATTAGTACTATTACCCTGATGAAGTGATAGGGTTGCAGGACAGATTTCTTTAGCAAAGCAAAATTTTTAAATAGGCGTTCCCATTTAATAGCTAACATTCATTCTTATTAAATTTCTAAGTGACACTTTGCCTACTGCATTTTAGAGAGTTCTAAGTGGTTTCTAATTGATGAAGTAATAGGCCATCTTTATTCAGTTGTTGCTGTAGGAAGAGATGACCAGTGCAGTCCATTCCAACTGGTTTGGCTGGGACAAAGCTGGCACCTGGCCCATTCAGAATTGACTCCATCAGTTAACTCCACCTGAACATGCATCATTTTGTTTTTCTGTTTCCCATCCCCTTTTGTAGTTATCTCTTTTAGAGAGTTAAGTATGTGAGAAGTAGCTATACTGTAGTATTATCTGTATACAACGCCTAGAGAACTGATCAACCTACATCAATGTTGTGTCTAGTGAAAAAACCAGAGTGTAAGCAAGTAAAACTAGCTGGAAAGTAACAGCAATTCTGTATCTTTAGTAACTCAGTGATTTCTCGCAAAGTAGCCAATGCTACTTCAAACTGTCACTCAACACACTAAATTTTGTGATAAAACGGATTGCCACAGTCTAGGCGTGCAGTACAGTGCCCAGCTGATCTTTGTACCAGAGGCTGTTTTCACCTGAAGTCCAATGAACAGTACTACACAAACTCTGATGTGGCTAAATTTCAATGCCATGATTTGCCTAAACTAGAAAAATGTTCTTTCTATACAAAGTTTAAACATGCTACTAGGCATAGGGTGAGTGTGGAAGAAATGCAGAACATTGAGTGTTGCAGTAAAAGAGCTGCTTTAAAAGTCAATTATCCTATTCTAAGAATTCATTATAAATGAACTGTTAACATTCTACATAACTTCTTAAGTGGGTAGTGTCATAGAATGTATAACATAAAAGCATACTTTGGGACAACATCTCTTTATTAAGGGTAATAAGAAGTCTGAAAATTGTACAAAAAGAGGGAAACTTACTTTTTGTCACTGCAGTTCAGGTCACGTACAATTTATGTACAGCCATTTCATTCTTTTCAAACACATGCAGACAGTTATTTTCAAATTCTTAACATCTACTCTGCATTTACTTGGATAAGACAGACATTTCTTTTAGGGCACTATTTTGCATATTTAAGAAAACTGTACTTTGTCATTGCCTTTTTTGCACAGCAGTTCTCTTTGCTCAATTTTCTGATGAGAGAATTGTATGAAGGAGTAACAGTAGACAGTCTCAGACAGGAGACTGAATGCTCAGAGGAAAGTGAATCAGATTGTGGACCTGTTTGGTATCTGCATGCAAAAGATACTAGATTCTTCCTAGATTTACATAGACAGATCTCCCCTTAAAAGTGCATAATCAAGTATAATTACTATGATTTATCAGCTCCTTTCTGTATCTCTGCAGTACACAGAGAAGCCTATTGGGCAGTCTATAACCCAGTGTTCGGAATCTGGAACAGTTACAGTTTTTACCAGAAGCGCTGCTTACTCATTAACACAGCCTTCCTTGTGAATTCTCAGAAATACAGCATCCGAGAAGAGCTTTATTATGCAATACTCAGCACAACTGAACTCATGACACAGAATCAGTCAAGCAGCATCCACAATAGTATCTCCTGTCATGCTGCAATCCAAAGGACTGCAGGTGCAACACAGACTTGTGCTGACACTATTCAGCAGGAGCACACTCAGGTCATCCAGGCCTGTGTAGACATGCAACATCATGTTTCTTCATGTTGTTAAACCACATTTAGAAACTTACAATTAAAGGCAGCCTTTTCCCTAGAGCTGTGAAATACTAAGTGCTGAGAATCCATTTAAGGCACTAGATTCCCAATTGCTGGGAAGTCTCAATGGGAATAGCACCTACTGAGAGCGATTTCCTGGAGGTTAAGCATCTGATAACACCAGGTATGGTAAAGCATTGACAAAAAGCAGACTTCTCATCACAGAGTAACATGGCTTACCATCTAGAGCTTTTTGCAATAAATGAAATACCTAAGGTATAATCTATGCATATTTAGGCGGGGAAAAAGGGCCTGCAACATTCAACATGCTCCAGACTGGGTGTTGTAGGCCTGCCTCATTTGCACAGCAGAAATTGATTCAGTGACTTATAGTTGAACTTTTTTGAGCTGTAATGTCATCAGATTTGTTTCCTCATCATATGAAAAACTCGTACTGAGAAATGCTAACCCTAGAAAACCCTCTTCAAGGCTACATGCAGAACAAATTTTTATAGTAATAATCTTTTAAGTTTAAAGTAGCATTTCTTAAATATAGCAATGAAATTTTTTATGCCAAGCCATGCCAGTATATAAGAAAAAGCTTCAGGATCTTCATCACTGACAACTGCAATCACAAGATAAATCAGGATTGAGGAATATGCAGCAGTCCACTTTGCAAATATGATCTTCTTAGGCAATCCATCACTGCAAGTTTATAGAACCAAAATAAATAGCAGTCTTGAACAGAACCACTGATGTGTTTCCATACTTATGGCCTAATTCTACTCTGTGAGACAAGGCTCTAAATACATACAACAGTAAATATGTTACTTGCAGTGACATTTTTTTCCACTAATTAAAACCAAGTAGGACACAGCCAAACTGGATTACGACCACAGCATGCTGGTTTAATCCTTCCTTCTGCTCTGCAATCTTGTCTCCCCAGAATGTCTCCCCTTTCCCGCCAATACTGCTGCGATACATCTAATATTTTATGTTGGTGGGCCTGGCCATATCAAGCACGAAACAGATCCAGACTAAAGCCATTTCCTGTGTTTAGATGTCTGATAAGTGATATAGAAAGACTCATTCTTTGGTATACAAATGTGCATTAAGTGATGGATTTTTGTTTTTCCTTTGGTGAAACCTGGGTCTAAAATATTATAATGAACAGTTCTAGTAGCCTATTAACTCATGCACAGGAAACATAAATAATTCAAGCTATTTTAGGTAATTCAGGAGGAAACATGTATGTCCCCTAACTTTCAGTATCATTCGGCACTGAGAAAGCCAACTACTGGTTCATACTAGAAGTAACATATGAGTATTTCAGGCATATTCCAGAGACTATTAAGTTACATTTCACAACTTATGTGAAAAAGTGTTCTAATGCATATTTATTTAAAGTGTAAAAATGAATGAAAAGTCACACTAGACTACAAGATGAGTAGTAATTATTGGCACAAATGTACTTATATAATATACTCAGGAGTGAGAATAGGAGAAATGCACATTGCATAAAGGTCAGTGGTAATCTGAGTAGGGCACAAGGGTTTTAACAGCAGCATTTTATTCACATTGTATTGTCTGTGCAAATACAGCTTCAAGAAAATAGCTGTATTTACTGCCTGTCCCCACCAAGAGTGAAAAGGTAAGAAGATAATTGTAAATCTCCAGGTCTTTCTAGCTGAACCTTTGAAATTAGTTTTTTTCTTTTAAGATGTCTTCTGCTCCTGTCCCCATGAAATTCAGACTAGGTGCTCAACTGCTCAATCAAGTCTTCCACAGTATATATCATGAGTCTGATATCATCCTTCTCATTCAGTCGATGTTGGCCACCTTTGCGGAGAATAATATCCACATCTCCACTGACAACATTCTCGGCAACCTTCATTGAAATCTGCCATGGGATATCTTCATCTTTAATCCCATGGATGAGTCTCACTGGGCATTTTATGGGAAGAGGGCTACTCAAGACACAGTGATTTTCTGCTTCATGAATGAGTTCATATGGCAGAGAGTAAAATCCTTCTTTGTTGTGCCTGGTTGGCAGCCTCCATTCACCCTTTTCTTCTATTTCTTTTTTGGTCTAGGAAGTTAAAACATGCAATAGACTAACTTACTGAAAGACAGTTGAATCCTATTTTCTGTGTAAGGCAAGGCTGTTCAAACATTAAGCCTTACCTGCACATTATCACTGTGCCCTTATGGAATATATGAGGCAGAGGAAGTTTTTGCGGGTACACAATATGGGACTATGGAGGGCTTTTAAAAGGATCAAAACTTTTGAGTTCTCTTAGGAATGCAAACATCTAAAGTTTTATTCTGCCCCAGTTAACACCCTAGAAATTATATTTTACATGAATTGTCCTGGAGGGGTCACAGCTGAAATAATCACCCTCAGATGGTGAAAGGTCTAATACAGTACACACAATACTTTGGTCTCTAAGGCAAGCTCAATCTGATGATCCCAAAATTAAACAACTTAAGAGGAGCGAAGGGCAACATACAGGTATAATCTAGTCCACAGAGGTGCTCAGTTTGGACATCAGAAGCACCACTTGCATTCCTAAGCTCCTGCCCTCTCCAAACTCTGCCCTGGGGAGAAAGAAATATTGATATTATCGCCAATCTCAAACAGGATTTAACAAGCAGATTCCCCTGTTGCTCATTCTGAAGTCAGAAGACAGAGGAGCACATCACAGCCAGAGCTTGAATGAGCTGATTCCACTGGCCCTGATCAGTTCCCTCCTGTAACCCAAGTGGGAAGTGAGCAGCACAAGAAAGGTTGGCCCAGTTGAGTTGACACTTATAGGAGCTGACTCTTGCAAGTACTGGCCAAGTTTCTTTCTGTGATCCATCAGGGATACATACATACATATTAGGCATGCTCCTTTTTACAAGTAATATGCATTGTGGACCATGACAGCACCACTTCACCACAACCTAGAGTTAAAATCCAAAAAGATACTAGAGTGCCTTCTTTTGATTAGGAAAGCCAACTTCCCTTCTTACCTCTACAGGAAGCTGTTGATAAGTCGCTACAAGATAATCTGCGGCGACTGCTATTCCAACTAGTGCAGCCACCTTTTCTGGACGTGCAATTGCAGCATGAAGCATCAGCCATCCACCCAAGCTGGAACCAACTAAAATCTTAATAGAAAACCAGTATTAGTGCTTTTATGTTATATAAATGTGCAACATACATTTACTATTAATTTAGTAATCATGTCACCATAAATTCAGTTAGATTAAGCTGCTTTAAGTGATATATGAATATTGCCTATTACTTAGATGCAGCACCATATTCTGATAGGGGCCTGAATTGCTTTGCACGACCCCATCGTGAGCTGACAGCAGAGGGGATAACTCCATCCCCGATGCCATCCGTTTTCATTCTCTGTGCTGGAAGAACGTACAGAGAAAAGGACCAGGCTGCCCTCATCCCCACTGCTCTACCCAAGTAAGACAGTACTGGGAGATACCCTCTGTTGTAAGCCGGCTTGTAGGCCAGTGATGGATGGCCTACAAATTTTCTAAATAAATAAGTAAATAAGTTAGCAAGAGGATTCCTTCAATACAATGGGTTGGATTCTAAAACTCAATCACTGGACAGCCTCCAAAAGGTAGTGTGGGCTGGACTGCAGTGCCCCAGAAGCCAGTATTTCTGCACCCCTGGCCTGTGAGAATATAAACACCAGCTGACATGACAACCATACTTGCAGTCAATGGTCATGCTTGGACAATCATTATCTTGATCTGCTAATCCTTTTATGACTCCACATTCAGCTTCTTTAAACTTCTGTAATATTCTGAATTGTTCAGAAGCTGCTAGCCATAGCTTCCTAAATTGGATGCACTGTGAAACTATAGCTATGTAACTTAATGTAACTTAACCTATGCCTATTATTAATGCAATTCCCAGGTAGTTTAAAACCCTTGCTAAATTTAAAACCATTACTTCTTACTTGAAGGATTTATATCACACTTCTTACCTGTGCTCTGAAAGCACTTCTATTTAAAAGGCAGTTTTACATAACTATATCTTGAGTAACAACAATTACTTATGAATTTATCAACCAGCAGTCTTGTCCCTACCAAAGTGTTTTGCAAGTAAAAGTATGACAGTGGTGGCATATGTAACCTAATGGCATCATTTCCAATCATTTTAATTCACAATCAGTGAATACAGCACAACTTAAAAAAAGGAAAAAAAATCAACCTGTGGTCCTTGTGTGAGTTCATCTAGTATAGAAAGAACATCCTTCCGCCACTTTCCCAATGTACTCTCTTTAATATTGCCTTCTGAACTTCCACAACCTCTATAATCAAACCTGTGAAATCAGACAGGAGAGGTTTAAATGAAGGTATAGTTGTGTAATGAAGGTATAGTTGTGTATTTTGTGCACAAAATAAAATAGTATCATCAAGCCATTAAGAAAATGTTCAGGAAAATACTTTGCCAAAATAACTTAATGAAAAGTGTTTGCATCTTGTTAAGCATTAGCATGCAGCCTTATGACATACCTTACAAAAGCATGACCAACTGATTTGCAGTAGTCTTCCAGTGCAAGCGCCTTATCACCATTCATATTTGAGAAAAGACCTGGAAGGAATACAACTCCAGGATTTTTGCCTTTTAGCCTATGATAAGCTAGATTCGGATTATCAGTTCGGTTAAGGAAACTGTGTGATGATTTTTGTCTACAACCTAAACAGAAAACATTAAGCCATTAGTCGTTTGTCTGTTCACTGTATGAATATACATTCATTGAAAGACAGAGAAGGCTGCTGAAGTGGACTGTTTAAGAGTCATTCAATTAACTGTCTCATTTTAGGAAACCTTTTGAAAACATTTTCAAATATGTACAGAATAACAAAGTGCAATATATATCATAATCTGGAATGAATCTTCTCCTCAAATAAGAAAGATCTTTATAGAAATAGCAATCATACAAAATCACAGATACCAAGTCTTTTCCAAAAGAACTGCAACTGAGAAATGATGCTTAATAATTATTATTAATATACAAATAAACCCTCTATCAATAGAGGAGTACAAATATATTTGTTCATTAGATATACTTAATTTACTCTAATATTTAACTGCTTAGGAAAAATTCAAGCTCGGCATTGCTTCTTCTTGCATAAGTTAAGCTTGACAACTTCTAAATCTTTTCTATGATGCAGGATGCATTCCATGCTTGTATTTAATTATTCACCTGGTCCCCACAAAAAACAAGTATAGAGTGCTCCATTCCTTCTGTCCTGGTTGGGGAAGAGAAGCCAGCATGAGAACCAAGCAAGCTAGCAGGAAAGGGACAGAATGATCCATCTCACCTCTGCCAGTACACTGCAGTTCAGTGCTGAATATCCAAGAATAGCCCTATTCCTGAACACTCACTATAAGGCCAAGTATGTATTTGAAGGCCACTGTGTGTCCTCTACCAGTCTGATGCATTTCCAGCCAGAAAAAAAATAACTCACTTTTTCTTACTCTAAGGAGGACTAGCAAAGGAGATACAAAGCTCTGTCCATTCACCAAAAACTGATCTAGTGCATAAGATGCAGATAAATAAAACTTTTGGCAGGCTGATAACTTCTTGGGGCTTCCTAACAAGCTGGTGTATTCATTAATGGACACATATCTGGTTAATGATCTTCCTACAGCTCTTGCTTGCACTGTCTCTTGGAAAAGATAAGAAACGGCACTGCTTCAAATCAAAGAGCAAGTATGCATCCTGCCTCTTTTTAAAGGTTTCTACACATACAAGGCAACTTGGAGGTAATGAGACTACAAATAATGTCTGGCTTGAAAGCCAAGTTAATATTCATGGACCTGTGTTCTCAACTAAAGAGTTTCAGAAAAGCTACCTACAAAACTGACTAGTCATTTTGCATGTACATATTTTACATTCCATACATAATGGAAAATATTTGAAATATTTTATTCTCAGCCCCTTAAAAGCCACAGTTAACTATCACCCCAGTTTTCTGAGTATTTGAAATGATGTTTCTATAGCAACAAAAGTTCAAAGGAGTAATTCTACTATTCTACATTTCCCAAAGGATAACACCTCCCCAAGAGAAATCATAGCAATTTCTCCATATGTTTATGGCCACAAACAGCACCAAAATTAGTTCTTGCATATACTTGGCTTCAGTGCCCTAGTATATTAAGCAGTAAGAGTGTCTGCGAGCATGTGCAGATGGCCTGAATATCCATAACTTAAATGCAATAAAAAGGTACCTTAAAACAAGTATACAGATTGCAGGTTAATAACCAAAATACAAGCAGGCCCAATGCTGTTGTAAAAAGAAAACAACCTGTTATGTCAATAGTCAAAACATAAACAGGAATTAAAAGTATTTCCAAATAAATTCTTAGCTTGTAGGAAAATTGCTGTTAGTGCTTGAACATCGAGGAGATAACACTATAAAGCAGATACAGTGCTCAGCTCTAGTCCTCATATTTCAGGAGGTGCAGCTATGACAAAGAAAGAGAAGTGCACAATAGCCCTATAAAGTAGCACTGAGCTATCATACCCATCTTGCAGGTATGTGTGTGGAGGACTGATGACAGATAGTGCCTTATCATAATCCTATGGATGCAAGACAATAGACTACCATTCATATTGTACACTGGGGGTGGGCCTATGGTTGGAACAGGCTTATAACAACTTTGCAATGCACTCCAGCATTGTTCCATATGTGGAGATGTGCATGAGGCTGAATTCACCCAAGGTTGCTTTACACAATCCAGATTATGAAGTAGTAGTACTCTTTGATATTTCAGATAGTTCAGCTAGCAACTAAAATGGAGCAATCAAATTGTACCCCCAGGCTATGTTCAGCTCTCATACACGACACAGCATGACCAATTTGCTGAAGCTCAGCAGGTATGCTTCCAGACTAGGCTTTTTATTGGACAATTACACTGTCATATTCACAGGATTATATTTGGAGAGAGGGGATATGTCTTCAATTCACAACCCTGCATTTGTCCACAGTTTCTTTCATCCTTTTCTTTACCCCCCCCCCCCCCCCACAACTGCACAACTGATTGTGAGAATCAAAGCCTTCTGTCTAGAAGCATTGCAAGTTTGGATCTGATCAGCATCTGGAAGAGAAACCACCTGGGAAACTCCTGAAAGCATCTTAAGTCCCATGATGGAAGCATGCAGAGATATAAGTTACATGTGTTAAGGTTTCTTCATCTCTCCCCTATAGCAAAATCCTATGCAATGTTTTACTCAAAAAATTTCATTGTATTCAATGGGGCTTATTTTCAGTTTAAACATACATACGGACAAACACACCCCTTTATGGCCCAATCCCTGGAAGTGCCTAAATTGAACTCAAATAATACAGGAGTTGGAGTTCAGGGGGGCGTTTGGATAGGTGGTATTATCCAACTCTTAGCCTAATTCAGTGTTCCAGGGCAACAAATCAAGAGGGCACCAAGCTGGTCTAACCTAAGAACGAACCCATTACAATGAACGGCAACTGTGCCGACAGCAAGAAACGTGACTGGGCTAACTCAAGGATCATGCTCTCCTGCCCCCAAAGCGCGAGCAACATACAGCCTTTCAGGGAGCAATCCTACAAGCGTTTAAGCATTCCTACAACCGCACGCATTCCTCGGCCAGCCTGCGGAATGCTTGGAGCTGCGGGAGCGTCTCGTACAAGCACGCAGGGGATTAACGCTGAAGGCGAGCAGCGTGCAAGGCGCTGCGCGGATCCCGAGAAATGCTGTCCCCGAGCGCAAACCTCCTTCGCAGGACGGAGCGGGGGGAGAAGCAGCAAAAAACGCGCCAGCAGTGAGCGATGGGGAGCAAAGAAAGGAAGAAAGGAAGAAGGGTTCCCCTCGCGGCAGAATCGAAGCCCATGGGCGGCTTTTCCTTCCCTGCAGCAGCAGAGTAGTCAGGCCACCCCGCCAAACTTTAGCCCGCGGCCACCTCAGCCCGCCCGCACTTACCCAACAACTGAGGGAAGCCCAGCGCCGTCCTCCGGGCCACGGTTGCTTCCCAGCTTAGCCTCTGCCACCGCCACAGGACTTTCGCCGCAGCCATGCCCGCCCAGCCTCGGAGCAGCCCGCCGCCAGTGAGCGACCCGTGAGCATCCACACCCCCTTTGGCCGCCTCACCAGCAAGTGAGCATGCGCACGTTGGGGGCGGTGAAAGGGCGGGAGGAGGAGGAGGAAGAGGTTATTTTGTCCGCGCATGCGCCCTACTGCAGGGTAGAAATATAAGAGAAAGGCGTTATCTCTATACAGCTCATGTCTATGGTTTTGTATTGGAAAGTAGATCTGTAGAGCGATAGAGCTAACTGGTTGCTTAAGGCACCATTTCTAGCCTTCGCAAGTAAAAATGACAGGAAACAACAGAGAAATACAGGAATTCATGCTTTGGATTGGACAGTACTCCACATCCCCAAGCTGAGGCAAACCGAGAATTGAGAATCTTTCTAATATCTTAGTTCATGAGAACACTGTTAAGTATTTATAATATGCATGTTTAAATCAAAAATAATTAATGCTACATGGCTAGCTGTCGAAGGCTGGGATTTGTAGGACTTTCTATCTAAATATGCATAGGACTGTGCCCTAAGCCTCTTAAATATTCTATGGCAAATGCAGAGTTTTGATCTCCGTGTTTCAGATAGTGCAAAACAGAGTGGATTATGACAGCCCTGCAAACTAGTCTTCAGCTTTCATTGCCTCATAATTTTAGGGATGCAATCAGATGAGTGGTGAGAGATAGAGGCAATTGAAGACGCAGTTTTGACCGTGACATGCTGGAAGTCTGGAACCTTTTTCTGCTTAAATTTGCAAAGGGTTGCACACATTCATTCATTCGTAGTGGTAGTGCCTGCATGCTTTTTAATACAATAAAATCTTGCACTTTCTGATAAGAGATCATCACCCCTGTAGACGAAGTCATCATGACTCAGAACCATTATAGATTTTTGAAGACAAGCCGTTACTTTATGGGTGGGTTTGGGGACAAACTTACTCATCCATTTGCAATCCCGTTTGTTTTCCCAGCAATTCTTCTTTTTGCTTAATGAAGAAAATTTATTGAGGGAAAGAACAGCACAATAATGCATGAGGGTGCATACAGAAAAAATCTGGGATGTTGGGCATGGGAATTGACCCTTGTGAAGATGATGTATTGGAGATCATGGCTTGCCATACCTTGCCTTTTGCAGCACCATTTCATGCCCTGCAGCTCAATCACTTTTCCCTAGAGTTTTCATTTCTATTTTTTAAAATTATTTGGGTGATTGTAAAAAGAAGCGGGGGAAGCATATACATGCATTTGCTATAATTTACTTTTTCATTAGCCACTGCTTGATTGTATCCTTTACTACTTTAGGATGTAATCCTATGGAGAGTGGAAGGGGCAACTAAGACAATCTGTTTCCCTACCACTCCTACTTCGCATTTTCCCTAGATGACTGTTTTTGGCCACCTAGCTGAGCCGCTCAGAGAGGGAGAGAGAGATCCTGGAGACGCTTCAGGATATCTCATATTGTGGCCACTCCAGTCTCCTCCTTGAACGCTTTACTCTCTCTTCCAGGTTGTTTTCTCAACCTCATGGAGCAGCTGGCACAGTTCTTTCTGTGCTGGCTGCAAGGGAGGCAGAGGTCTGATTCCCAGCTCTGAGGTTGTAGTGCTGTCTCTGATCTCGGAACTGGGAATGTCTAGGGGCTTCAAGATTGCTCTCTTACTACTGGAACATAAAGTCTGCAACACTAGTAGCAAATTCAGCTGCTTTGCAGTTTCCCTTGGAGTTATATTCAGTGACATACCAGTAAAAGAGAATGGCAAGGAGTCTGAAACAGCTTAACAATGGTGGTTGGGTCCCAAAGACATTTTGCATTTTATACAGAAGAGTAAATATGTTATGGAAGAGTAAGGGACATGGCTACTTTAAATTGGACAGGAATTGGACAAGCATGTCATGGAAAGAAGTGGGGGAAATTGTCCAGTTACCCAAGAGTCTTCTTACCTAAGCTGACAATGTCTCTGTTGCAATGTTGAGGTTTTCCAGGCTGCTGATCCTAGAGAATGTTAACATCCATGTCAAAGGGACCCTATCTGGGGCTGTTCAGGAATCCATGGACCCCATTAGAACCATGAGACTACCCCAACTTGTCACTAATCCAAATCAAGAGAGTATACTCTAGATTTTTGTTTTTTCAGCCAGTCATGATGGGGGACTTTGAATTAGTTTGTCACAGTCAGATCACTGTCTGCTGAAATTTAACAAGTTTTCCCCAGTGCAGGAGTGGGAGACTTATTCATTCATGTGATCTGCCCCTGGAGCCTGTTGGATCTGGGTGGTTTCTAGAGGGCTTCTGCAGGCTTTCTGGCTGATGTGGCCGATAGTTCTGTCGAATCCCAGGTTGCTGTCTAGAATATACCTGGGCAGTTGACTTGATTGCTCCTGAGTACTCTCTCTGTACAGCTCTGCAGTACACCCCAGAGCTGAGAGTGGTGGAACAAAACAGGAGATGGCTTGAGTGCAGATGGAGGAAAAGTCTTAGTGGAGGCAGTCAAATCCTGGCATAAACCCTCAGTAGGAAGCTCTCATGCCTCTACTCAGCGCTCTTTCTGCCACCCAGAAAGCTTCCTGTGGTTGCTGGGGCCTACTATATGCTGATTGAGTTCAAAGTTGACAAGGAGCTTGGAGATGTTCATGCAAATACATCTGTAGTGAATCCTTGTCTCCACCCCCGTCCCCCACCCCAGGCTAATAAAAGCTAACAGGAAAGGAAATACTGGTTGGGGCAGGGAGGTGATTAATGCATCTTGATGAGAGGGAGTGGTCCTGTGCCATCTGTACCAGGCAGTGGTGAGGCCACTTCTGAAGAAAACTTGTCTGAACCAAGAATAATTTTAGGCTGGTTGAAAATACCTCCTTCCTGGGCAAGATTATTGAATGGATGGTAGCCAACCAGCTGCAGGCACTCTTGGAAGATATTATCTGGATCTATTTCGGTAGGGATTCAGACCAGGTTTTGGCACAGAAACAGCTTTGGTCACCAGAAGATGGGGAGTGTGACCTCTTTGGTACTCCTGGTGGCTTTTGAAATCATTGACTCCGATATCCTCCTGGAGTGGCTGGCTGAGCTAGGAATAGGGAGCACTGCATTGCAGTGTTTCCACTCCAGCTTGGAGGGCTGGATCCAGAAGCTGATGCTTGAGAAACATTGATCTGCCCCTTAGACTCTCTAGTATAGAGAGGGCTCAATCATGTCCCCCATGCTATTTAACTTCTGCATGAAACCACTGAGGTTATCCAGAATTTTGGAATGTTTGGTCATGATTGGTGGAGTGGGTTACTAGCATGGTGACCAGCATGCTACCAGTATTCCAAGTGTAAATTGATCCTCACCTTCCCACCATCAGAAAGGAGGCAGTGCTCATGCAGTGGCCCTAGTTCCAAAGGGAACATGATGCAGTGGAGTGTGCTCACGCCCTGTTATGTCATCTGCCCAGAGGCCATTAGCTGCTGGGTGGATTAAAAAATTAATATAGAAGAACAGATCTGTGCTGCCAGGGGTTGTGGGAGGGGAGCCCATGATAATTCACCCCTACCCAAAACAGTTGCTCACCCAATTTACTGGATTTCATTTTGATGAAGCCCTTTCCATTTTTGTTGCTCATGGTTCTTTTGGAAAGTTTTTAGAATTGCACACTAAAACTTTGTAGCCTGATTCTGTAAATATTTACTTGTGAATAAGTCTACTGTCACACGCGCCTGGGAATCTCATCTAAGTGCATGCACATGACATCTACAGTATATGATGGATTCCCCAGTAAGTGTGGTTAGAATTACAACCTTAGTTAAGCAGTGTGATGTACAGCCCAATACTATGCATGTCACATCCAGTGACAAATCGATGAGATTTCCATCTCATACTGAACAGGATTGGGTTGCACACAGAATTAAAGTTTACACATATATTTAAAAAGTTTAATGTTTATGAGCAAGAAATCAGACACATTTAAAATGCAGAAAGGTATTTTAAACATTTATTTGTTATTACAACATGCAAGATACAAAACAATTATAAAAACTGCAAAATGGTATAGAAGTAAAACCAAAATAAATGAAGGAATTATATAAATCAAAGTCATTCATTTCTAGAATACATGATCACGTATTGCAAATATTGTTTTTACCCGGTCTTCTTTAGAACACACAAGTTAGGCTTCGTGGTAATACTTTGTTCCTTTTGTTGGGAGTCTACAGTGGATTAAGATGGATTTTGAAATCCAGTCCAATCCCAATTACTTTCTGACTGGTATGTATCATTTGTAGCACAATCCTAGGCATGTCTGTCCAGAAGTAAGCTCTACTGATTAAATAAGATTTACTGCCAGGTAAGTGTATGTAGGATTGAAGTCTTAGAGCCTTTCCACAGAAGGCATTCATTGGGCACTCATGACTCCTCTGTTACAGTACTTTGTGCATGTTTTACAGGATGTCATCCTCTTCCAGGGTCTCTCTCTTGCTTTGGAACTATTATAACATTTTTTTCCTAACAGAAAAGTCTGGTATTTCCATGAATGGCAGCATGAAACCCTGATATATTTGCACAATTCCACTACACCACAGTGCCATCTAGTCTAATGGAACATTCAGAAAGACAGAGAGGGGTAAAAAACTGGGAAAGAACATGTGTGAAGAAACTGATCTCAATCCCACAAAGAATCCAGAAGCAAAAGTTCCAGCAAAGTTGCAGGTTAAAAGCCTCATGCAGAAAATACTTATGCTGTATTACTTCAAAGTAATTTGCTGAATTTAAGGAAACACAACCTTTGAACCCTGATTCTAAGCACATTTTCTTGGTATTTCAAGTAAATACATTTAGGATTATGTAGCATTTGTGAACTATTGTAACCACATTACTGGATACACCATGTTGTAAAAATAGTCAGCTTTCTTCACACAGGACATATTTAGAAAATACAACATTTCTGCAAGAGTGATTTATTATAATTCATTGAACACATTTTACTTTACTGCATTGAAAACATATGGCACTTACAAAGTCAAATTATTAAAAGAGAGTATCAAACACAAAGTTCAAAATTCAATCATTCATCTAAATACAATATCCAAAGACTAAAGATGTATTTTAAATGGAAAAAAAAATCTTTGAGGAATACAGAATCTTTACAAGAGGTAAGGTAATCCCTTGAGCACATGAAAACTTTATAGACTTTTCTGGGCTCATGAAGGGGCCCTCTCATGATCTTCAAACTATCTGACCTACTTGATCTGAGATCAGTAATTTGTAATAAGATCATAGGAAGCTGCCTTTTATCAGATAAGGATGCAATCCAAAATGAATCCCTGTAAATCCCTGGACTGGAGGATTACAGGCAATCTATGCAGGATGAGAGGAGTGTGGAGGCAATCTCCTTGTTCTTCCTGCCTTGCTTATCAGCTAGACAATAATTTCAGCGCTCTGCCTGTGGCACTTTAGAAGGGGAGAGAAGGAGGCAAGATGTGCCATATCATCGTAGACCTGGGTTGTCTTCTCCCTTGTTCTCAAGAATGCCCTTTCACTTCTTTCTGAGACTATTCTTACACCCGCAGAGATTCAGCAGAGACATTTTTCTCCACAGTGGCTGTGGGGACAAGTTCCCCAGATCTGAGGCCCAACCTCAGTTGGACCTCAGATATGGGAACCTGAAGCATCCTAAGGCCATAGGTTTGTTCTGTAAGACTGTTTATTCACCCCTACTCTGATTGGCAGTGCCTCAGCAAAACTCATCTGCTACCTAACCCCTTTTAAACTGAATCTGAGACCTTTTGTATGCAAAGCAGGTGCTCTGTCATTGAGTTGTGGTCTCCAGTTTACATTCTTCAAAAATCTTAGGGCAGAGAAAGTAGCATTAATTTATTCACTATACTAAATTCAGGAAAACTGTAATGACATATGCTTATTTTGCGGGGGTATATATGTCAGCAAACACTTCCTTCAAGTATGTTTGGGAAGGAAAATTAATCTTGGGTGGATTAAAGAACAATATAACGTAAGAACTCAAAAGTAAATGAGAACATAAAGAATGCCATGATGACACCCTGGAGGGTGAAATCCAAAGCACAGCTCTATGGAAGTGGCCAATGGAGCCAGCAGCTGCTTTGCTTATGGCATGGAATAAGTTTTCCTTCTGTTCAGTCACCCATTAAGCTGAAGCCAAATGGTCACAGCATGTTTGCTTGCATGATAAGAAAGAAATGTCTGTACCCTCTTCATCACCAATGCATTCAAAATTCTGAACCAGTTCAAGGACTTTGGTTGACAACTAGTCTGTGTTAGAAATTGCTTCAAGTTCTAGTTTCTAAGTCAACCAATATTAGGAGGGTGATCAGTTAAGATCTGTCATGGGCACACTGGTTGAGTCTGTCAATCTTTCCCATGGGAGTATAGATTATTCCATCTCCCATCTGTTTCTCTGTGATAGATCTTTGAGATCCAGATGCTGTGACTAAAGTTATTGCCTACTGAAGCTTTCTTTGTAGTTTATACAAAAAACCTGTATGGGGCTCAAAGGGATCTAAGTCTCACTGGCTGCTAAATTGCAAAGAAGTATACAGACCTGGCCTTTCAGTGGCAGTTTTTAGCTCTGCTAATTTGTCCTGTTAAGATGAATGTTTTGATTTTTTAAGAAATTAAGAAATAAGAAAATGCAGAATGTAAGCCCTTGTACGTATGGATTAACATTCCATATGGTACTTTGTTTTCTTTCCATACTGTCCTTTGAAAAAAGTTTCTCTTGGAGGATATTCGATTTTGTGCTAACATTTGAAATTGACTTCATACTTCTAGGTTCTTTCCAGTATTTTCAAAATAAAAATAACGGTATTTATATTTGGACACTTCATTTGCATTTGAGAAAAACTGAAAACTCTTCCATCACATGGAAACTAGATCTCATCATAAAGTGTGAATCTTTGGCGCTGCAGTGAATTAAGACAAACATACCACAAAGTGTGGTTTTGCAATATGCTATAAAATACTATAAGGAAAATTACATTAAAATTGCACAGAAATTCTGAACATTAAATATAGGCATCATAACTTTACCTTCCATTTCTTAATATTGAATACTGAAGAGTATATCAACACTTTCAAACAATGCAGTTTATATAATTTGTGTGCCAGGCTTATGGTCATCCTATTATTCATTTTGGGGCACTACAACCTTTTAAGCAGATTTTCTTTTCTTCTGCTATGACTGTGATCAATGCATCTAAAAATTAATGCTCCCTTCCACAGCATGTGTTTCATGTTGGAATATAAAGATAGAAGATTTTTGAGTTTCTGCTGTCATGTGGTTGTCAAATGTAACTAAATATGGCTTTTCACCCCTAGATGTGAGGTTTCTATTGCATTATGCCCTGTCAATGAACCTCTGCACCATTTTACTATAACATGAAGTGGGTATAACCTTCAGCCCCAGTCACAATTACATCCATCCAGATCCGCATAGCTTCTGGTGTGGGGGCCACCATGTAATATATTCTGTCATGAGTCTTAACACTGAAGGTCAGCAAAGGATTAGGACTCTAGAAATAAAGAAAAGTACATAAAATCAATGGTATAAATATAATCTTTCAGGCATTGAGTGCAACACAGTGAATGAATGCAACTGTAGACAATTTATGCCTACAGTTGTCTTCCAAAGCTGACAGCTGGGCAGTGACCAGATGCTAAGGAGAACAGGTCTCCTGTATTCTGAACTGTTGTTTACACAATAGAATTTTAAAAGATACAAATCTCCTTTTCTCTGGCAAGATTCACCTGTCAGAATACTGTCTTTCGAGCAACTATAGACCTTGTTCTTTGCACCATTTGTTCCATAGTAGAGACTAGATTCGTGCATGCTCTTCTGGATCACAGACTGTATGCGTGCATTGCTGCTCCTTCAAAACTAACACAGAAGTACAACTGTAGTTTGTGAATTCATGAAATAACATCCTGCCTTTGTCTGCACTATACTATGTATGCATATGCACACGTACCCAGTGAAATCCATGAAAAGAACAACTGGACAATACCACAATGTATTAAGTTATAAATAAGAGAACCATTTGTCAAAAGCCCAGAAATCATCAATACATTTCCCTGTCTATTGCAATTCATGTTCGTCCACAGGAATTAAATATGAATCACACTCTGTTAACTGTTAGGTAGAACTGTGTGCAAATTACAAAAAGCAGCGTTGTGCCTACCAGCAATACTCCCTCCATAACTGTAGTCAACACAGCTTATTTATAAAAGTTTCAAGGAGAGAGCACGACCAAGAATAAACTGAAACTAGCATATATTAGATACATTCATTAGTTACAATGAATCACATTTTACATGTAGGAAAAGCTGGACTTTTTTTACCTTATGAGCATTCTTAAGATGATCATAATAGACTTCTTCAATGGCTTGGAAATAAATTACTCCTTTTAGTTTAGTTTCATGTTTGTCTGCAAATAAGGAAAACGAAATGGATTGAAACTACCACCACATTGTAGGGATTAAAGGATTAGTTTTTCCAAACAAGAGTCAGGAATAACATGTTTGTTTACAAATTTTCCTAGGAAAACCTGGAATTTTAAAGGCCACTGACCATTTTGAGTTTGTCTAAATATATTTTTAGATCAAAAAGGGGGAAGGGGGAGCACAAACTTGAACTGTGGCTCTGTTGCTCACTGGCTTAGTCCTCCTGCCTGCCCACCGGAGAAGCAAAAGGATGAAATCTGGTTGTGATCTGCTGGGCTGGGAGGTTTAAAGTCCAGTAGGATAAGGAAGATGAAAGGATGAAGAGGAAGGATGGTGTCGGTGTCTGTGTCCATGTCCAAACATGTGAAAATGGAGAGGAGGCATATATTCCCCATGTCCTGGTGTTTGGGTGAAAATATCTGGCTTCCTGAAATCCCTTTAAGGATACTGCATGGCCACCCTCATCACCAAATTATATTTATATGCTGTCTTTTTCTCTGCAAGGAATTCAATAAATCTTATACAATACTCCTCTCTATTTTATCCTCACAACAATGCTGCGAGGTAGGCTAGGCTGAGAGTCAATGAGTGCCTCAAAGTGAACAAGGAAGCTACATGGCCAAGTGGGAACTAGAACTTGAATTCCGAAGTTGCAGTACAACACTCCAGCCTCTGTACCCCACTGGCTTTAAGTTGGGTCATTTATTTATAGTCCATATCCACTGAGCATTTCCCTTGTTGTAGAAGAGAATGGAGAAGAATCAGACACACATGTAAAAATGTTTGAATATTGGAACGGCTAACTTTCTGACTTTGGTTTGAATACAGGGGAGTTTTAAGTAAATATGGATAGGGACTAGATGTACGGGAAAATTAGGGAAATCAATGAGTTATTACAATACAAAATATGAACATATGAACAAGACTAGTAAACAAATTACAACTTGCGAAAGTGATACGACAGAATTAATATGATATATTAAGAGACAATAGAAATGCTTCCCATGTCAAGCTTAGCATATGACTCACCTGCATAATAAGAAAATGTTCTCTTGTTTCTATCAAACACAAACCATCGTTTTTTCCATGTTTTAATTTTCCCTCCCATCTTAATAAGAAATCCTCTGCACGTCTTCTCAGTAAGTGAAACATGGTAGCAGGTGTCTATATTGTGGCCAGCTGTCTCTATGTGACCACGTAAATCGAAATCTTCCTTTCTGACTGGCAAATAACGAGTCAAGGGCCGAGACTAATTAAAAGTAAAGTAAACGTGGATGTTATTATGCTATTTATCTAGTTACACATAAATGTTAATGCACAAACAAAATAGTTATTATTACATTGCATTTATATCCTGACTTTTTTCCTCTTGTGAAGAACCCAGAGCAGCTTTTGGAGTTCTCTTCCATTGAATCCTTCCTTTCCTTTAGTATTGCTTAAGATAAGCAGTCATAAAACCTTTAAGTGATTCAAGGGACCGAACACACACATGCACAAACATACACACCTATTGGGAAAAACTCCCCAACAGTTTCTGGAAAAGCATCATCTCAGCTAAATGGAATACAAAGTACCAAGTTGCTAATGAAACTACAGTACAGTACAATGCTAATATAATTGAATATACTGCTCTATGTTTCTAACTTTATTCTCCCCCCCCCCTTCCCTCCCTGTTCATCATACTGTAAAGCAGATAACAATTTCAACCTGACATTAACATGTAACATTTTGGATCTTGCTAAGAAAATCGAAGTAAAGCCGGCTGAAAGTCTGCCACCCAAATCTCTCACATCTTACTTGTTAGCAAATCTATAGAACTCACTTCCCAATGCCCTAGAAATAAAAAATCTTCTGCCCTTGCGATACTCTGTCTTTATTTTTCCGCCAAAGGATTCGTATATGACATTTTATAGTTATAAAATGTGTTTTAAACATATACCTAAACAAATAAACACATGCTTGCTCCAGCTCTAGAAAATGTCCAAGCAGGGAAAGGATAATTCCTCTTCCTAAGTGCCATGGTTCTGATCAGAATTGGGGGCCCAAGTGGCTGCTTTTTACAAAAATGTAAGGAAAGAGCACATTGTTTAATTTGGTTTTCAGCATTCCCTTTGGAAAATACAAGGATGGTGGATAGATAACACTGCTGGCTGAAAAGTGTGCTTCCCCACTCATAAGCCCAAAAAGCTTCCAGAGCTGCTTATCCACAATCAAGGAAAACACAGAAACTTCCTCCCAGTCTACAAAGACATGATACAAAAAGTAAAAAGGGCAGAGGAGGTAAGAGGGAAAATTCAAACTCAGGCACCAATTGTTTGGGCCAAATAGTAGTTCCTGCGATGATCTCCTGAAAACATTCAGGAAGAAGATGGTCCTAATGGAGCTGGCTGTTCATCAGGCCTGATGGCATGACCCTGCTCCTCACCTCCCTCTATTGCCGCCTGATGGGCTGGCTGATGATGACTCTGCTGGCAGCCTGATGACATTTGAGGGAAGAACCCAACAGAGCTGATGTTTCTGCAGAACAGCCTTGCCTCCCATCCTGCTCAGCCACAGTCTGCTGGAATGCTGCTGCCTTGTGGCTGTGTATGGCAGGATTGTGTTATTCTCAATCAGTACTCAAAACATTTCACACTGAGAAGCTTCTCTCAGTTCCATGTTTTCATAATGGTGAAACTGAACTCTAATGGGTAAGTGTTGAGTACAAGGGAAGCATCATGCAATACCAACAAAACCTCTCATCCACATTTTGCTCAAAGGAAAGATTATGTTTCTTACTCTGTGACTGCAGGCCTCAAGAAAAGACTTGCCACTGAATGTGTGATCAAGTCGTCACAGATCAAACACTAGCTTTCCCCAAACTGGTGCCCTCCAGATGTTTTGGACTTCAACTCACTTTAACCCCAGCCAGTGGGGCCAGGGGTCAGGAATGCTGAGAGCTGCTCAAAGCATCTGGAGAGCACCAGGCTGGGGGTGGCTGTCATGGACAGGGCTTCATATCATTTGATGTCACCTCTTGACACAATGCTTTTCAACGGAGGAAGCATCCATTGCAAATGTTTACACTGTCCTGCAGAAGTATCTATCCCCTTGACTTTTTCATAATTTGTTGTTTTACAACCTGGGATTGGCCTTGTTACTACTTGATGTACACAAGATACTCAACACTGTGAAGTATCACAGTGCCAGCACAGGTGCCAATCATTTTTATTGTGGCATGCCAGTTCAGTAAACAAAAATGAATTGGCACTTATTGATGGCACACATATTCACCTCTTTAAAGAGTCTGTACTTGATAGAAGTACCTTGGCAGCAATTACAACTGCGAATCTCCTTGGGTAAGTCTCTATCTGCTTTGCACATCAGGGTCCTGCAATGCTTGCCGCTGGCAAAACTGCTTCAGCTCTGTCAGGCTGGATGGAAACTACTGGTGAACAGCATATAGCTGTGCACAAATCCACTTACAGTTTTTTATCCTAGCTTTTTCTAATCTTTCAGTCTTTTTGGGGGGGGGGGGTGGACCTTGCATTTTGGTTGTTGTTCTATAAAAGTTAGAATTCCTTGGCAATGACTGCAAAACAATCAGAGATCAGCCAGTGGATCCTGTTCTATCTTTTGCTCCCCCGCACACAAGAGGACAACTCTGTATTATCTTCTGAGGGTTACATTCCTATCATGCTCACAAATATCTATCACTGCACAGACAGGACAACTTTCGTATTCTCACATCTCAGGCTTGCTAAATTAAAGAGTGAAAGGTCACTGCTATTTCCAAGGCTATCCAATTCAAGGTCTATTTGCAAAGTTTATACGACTGGTAAACAACTGACACATTATTTCTAATTGCAATCAGAGGTGCAGCAAAAGCCGTGTTATACATTCCAGTAATATGCCATGTGCTGAATGTGACGTGACTCTTCTAGGAACATTGTACATTTGTGTGTCAGTGCATTAGCGTGAAATGCTTCTTTTTACTTGGCAGATGCATTTGCATACTCTATTCAGCTTTGCTTCCCATTTTCGTATCTACAGATGACATACCTGGGATCTTTGTTTTTCACGTATCTTAACTTCTTTTTCAATTAGTTTTTGGCGCTGGCTGGTTTCTTCCTGCAGCCTTTTTTCTAGTTGTTCTCTACGACGCTTTTCTTCTTCTAATGCTCTTTTTTTAGCTTCCATTTCTCGTTCCTAAAAGCCACATCATACAGTATTTTGTAACTGTACTTTTTCAAAATCTGTTAAGTACAGATTAACTTCAAATACATTCTCTTCAAATTTATTTGTCATGGAAGATGTTTGCTTCAACTTGAAAGCTTTACCTTCTAAAGATTTCAGTTGACATCTGGGTCAACGAGTTTGTAAATAAGAATGTGCAACACATGCTGAATCATTTGGCTGTAATGCAGTTCTTAACAGACACCAGTGGACAAATATTGTGCACAGTTGCTATTAATTATGCTAAAGATGCATGAGTTTGCATACAGACCAGGAAAAACATATTGAAAAGTGGGTTCAATGGTCAGTCATAAATATGGCTTATAATGGGCTTATAATGTCCCAGGCTTAAAAACTGAATTAAAGCATTTTGAGACATGGTCAAATGCTTCTGCCTGAGGCCTTGAACAACACTCAGTCTGAATCCTGTTTCCAGTGCTGATAAGACAGATATTACCTGATTCAATATGAAACCTAGTTCTAAAACCTATTTGAGGCCAATACAGTTATATAAAATGGCAAAGCTGTAATACAGTATTAAACCAGTGTGGCTTTAAGGAAGGGTATTACGGCTGTTCTACAGACCTCCAAATACAGGTACAAACTATTGTTCCTCCTGAAAGAGCAAGATGTAACCAAGTCAGGCATTTCAAAATCTTGTATCTGCAATGTGCAATTTCATTTTTCAGTGACCTCCTGGGGCCCATCTCTTAGACTACACACTGCTACATCAGCACTCCTACAAATACTGGTGCTTCAAGCAACTGCTCTGATCTGCTCCTCTATCTCCTTAAAAGTGCAGCACAAAATTTCTGGAACATACTGCATATTTATTCTTAGAATTCCTATGATTTTCTACAAAAGATCATTGCAAATTTTAATGGCATGTTTGGCTCACCAAATTGTAAATGTAAAGGGACTAGAACACAAGCAAATAAAGAATTCCTGACAAACTGTAGGCAAATATAACTATTTCAGAACTCTAATGTCAACACAACCTCAAACTGTACTACTTCAGTGTTTGCTGTTACTCTTTATGGCTTACCCTAGATTCAAGCAATCGTGTCTTTTCAGCATGGGCTTGTTTCAAAAGCCTTTCCATTTCTTCTATTCTTGCAACATTTGAAGTACTTGCACTGAACAGAAAAAATAATAATTGAAAAAAAGAAAAAGAAAAGAAAACTGGAGATTTGCCTCCAGACTTTTTGTTTTAGGATATCAGATCTGGATATGTTTCAGTCCCCTAAATATGTGGAGAGAACTAAACAGTCTCACCTTCTCTGATTAATGAAGATAAGAGAGAAGTGAAGTGGACTGAACCATGGCCTTGGTGAGTTCTCCTTAAGATTAAGCCCAGTTGCTTCCATTCCTCTCTGATGCGGCAAAACTGTGCCTGAAGCTGCACAGGACAGGCAGGCTAGCCTGAAAGGCCAGATTCAGCCTGCATGCCAGAGAATCCCCAGCATTATATGCACATGCTCTAAAACACTGATTTGCATGGTCCCCAGAAATCTATTAAACGTACATGATAGGGACCTCCAGAAATAAAATTCTTTTGGATGAGTAAGTCCTTAACTGGCACATTTTAAAAGAGCAATATTTATCCTGTGTGCTTAATTACAAGGCCACATTTATTATGAACACAAAATGTTCCCATGCTTTACCTGGAAATATTGTCCGGGGAGCAGGCAGATATGCTGGTTTCCATGCTGTCAGAACTATCTAGGCTTAGAGTGTCAAAGGCATGGTCCTTGAAACTATGATCAGGATAATGGAAGGTGTTCAGATATACATTCGACTCAGAAGCAGTTCTGCTGTAGAATTCAGGAGATTTCTGTCTTTGATCTTCACATATATGTTGGTGGTTATAACCTAGAATGAGAAGCAAAACATTAGTTGATTTAGTTGCATTTTATCTTTTAAAATACATAGTTAATATTTCCAGGTAAGCACTTTAAAATTAAATTATTAATTTAATTCTTAAATTAAAAGCAACTCAAGACATTTCAACACTATATGATTTTGAGTCCTTATCTGGTTTGAAAATCCACACTTATTAATTATGACAGATTCTTTTTGGAAACTGTCAAGACTTTACTAGTAGCAAGCATATGCCTGTTTTATATCAGACATATTGTTGCTCCATGTGGTGGGCAAATGAGTGTATCTGAGTGGCTTGCTGTTTTGCAACAGCTGTTGAAAAAGGCATCTGAAACAGCCTTCAATGGGTGGCCAATTTATAAGCACTGGCTTTTACTCAAGTTAATTGGATGCACCGTTTCAGATCCCCTGTGTTGTAGTTGTGCAGGGACCCTAAAGCCCACTGTTCCTACCCACAGTCCATTTGACTGATGGGGGGAGAACTGGAAGACAAAAATTAGTTTTCTGCTTGTTAGTACACCTCTTACTTTTTAGCACAGGGAGAAGCTGCCGCCGGATGTGCCTTGAGATATTAATGTCAAGTGAAATGTTTAAATAGCTGATTAAATGTTCAGGGCATCATTTTATTAGAATAGTTAGAATTCAAAAAATGTTAAGAACCCTTGGAAGTAGAATAAAATATGGATGGATGGATGTGGGTTATCCTGTTGTCCCAGCTGTGCTTAAGAAGCCAGGGCTTGTTAACCATGAATAACCCATGAAGAGAACCCACTGTTTGCTCTTGGGTTGTAAACAGTGGGTTATTTATCATGGTTTGTTATCTCATCCAGGTTCAGATAATATGACATGCCACAATTCCACAACAGCCCACAGTTCAACAATAGCACACACTCAGTCCAAAGTGAAAAATGTACCATGCTGCTGGTTCTAAGAAATACATGACTTAATGTCAGTAACTTGAAATAAAATATGATCATCCAAAGTTAAAAGAGAAACAGATCATTAGTCTGGGAGGGCAGCCACCTGAAGCAATCAGATGCATTCAGACAGAACACCCCACAGCTGCCAGGACATTCTACTAAAGCTGAAGTTACTAATTTGGAGAAAATGACAATAGTTATTCAATTTCCACAAGCTATGCAAAACTGCATTTGACAGAAAAACCAACATGATTAAACAGTTTTTTGAGGTAAACAGAAAGACCAATGCCAAAAACATACAGGATAGTAAAATGTAAAAACAAAACAGTAACACCTGTTATTTTAAACAGACTTCTCCAATGCAATCTAACGTCTATAACCCAACATCACTGAAATCCAACCGCATCTCAAGGAGTTGCTTTCTTCACAAGGAACAAAATCAAGTAACATGCTTTAAAATATCCTTTCTGTTTCTCATGCTTCCCTGTGGCAGATATTCCCCTCAATGCCTAGATGTGGGGAGGGAGGCAGGCATTGCCGGCTGGCGGAGGTGTACCTTCCAAAACTTTTCCAGTGTAATGAGAACTTTAGACTCTCCACATGCTGTTTCTAAATTAGTTGGCAGTGTCCCTTTTCCCAGTACCAAACACAAAATCAGATATCATGCAAAGAGATTTCTCATACCTTTTCTGTCTTTTCCTGATTTAGTAAGACACACAGAATTAGAGGGAGAGGGAGGGGAGGAAGAAGGGGGGACAGTCATGTTGTGGCTATTTAAATACAGGAAAAATATTTAAAGTAAATATTATTTAAGTAAGCTAAGGAAGAGCTGCAACTGCAGATGTCAATGATGAGTAAAACAGGTCACCAAAGAGTATATTCTGGACTGCAGTACTGATTTAAAAATCCTGGTTGTTTCAATGGACTGTATTTCTGTTTAAATCCATTAGCTCCTGGATATAAGTCCCTTCAGATTTTTTTAAAATGCCCACTTCTTTTGTAAGATCACATTTCAATGTGAAAGTATCAATTACTGTAACAATTCTAATATTTCTTAGATTTTGGCTACAATCCTAGGTGCACACTTGGAGTAAGTCTCACTAAAATCACCAAATCCTTCACACTCAGTATACACGAGCACACTATGTATACTGCAGTTGCACCCCTTCAATTTACTGACAAACAGCAGCTAAGAGACAATTCTCTACCATTAATGGTTGTTGTTTTTTTAAAATAAGAATGAATGAGTGATCCCTGCATAGTTTTTGATGTTTAGTTTGGGCTGGCACAGAAACTGAATCTGTACAAAAGCCATAAAGAACACATTCAGGTGTGGTTATTGTCAAGATCCATGACAATACACTTGGATTATTCAATTTCAAAGTATGGCATCTTGTTTTTAATCTGTCTATGTCAATCTAAAAGCCTATACACATGTAGAAGCATGTGCTTTCTATTTTGGTTAAAGCACCTGTGCAATTAAAGAATTATTTCAATAACTAATGTTAAGAAAATGTAATTAACACCCATAAAAGTGGTGCAGCTTGATGAATCCAAATGATAAAATGAAGAAGAAAAACCATTTTTTTGTGTGAAAACATTTTTCTTATTTGAAAATACTGCATACCAATGTAAGAAACATTACCTTTGTGTGTCCTTCTTGATTCGGACTCTTTGGTTGTTGTTCCCATACAGTGAGGAAGGACGCTGCCACAGCTATTGCTTTGTCCAAGTGGGAGATGAGCCTGCATGAGATACTGGAGCTTCAGGGTACATTATTTTTGTATACTAGTAATCAGTAAAAGAATCCAAGTTTTTCCGTATGAATTTCATGAATATCTCTTGCTTTGTGTTCTATATACTACTTTGTAAATTTGGAAGTTGAACTTGTATATCTCCCTTTCCTTATTTTGGTAAAATTCAAAAGCTTTCTCTGCATCTGAAGCATGTTCATTCCAGTGTTGGGCTGATGAACAAATTCCACTTTTGATATTGTAAGAAGAAAAGGAGGCAGGAATCCTCAGCTACCTGCACTTCCTGTCCCACCACCACTTTAAGTAATATCTGAAGGTACTCAAAGATGAGACCAAACATATAATAATTATTATATAGCTTGTAGCCGAGACTGATATTTATCTTTAACTTGTGCAAGCAGGTGCAGAGAAAGGATTTGGTATAGGATCACTGTGCTCTAGGAGGGGAGTTGAACCTGTCTCCCCGATTGCCTCCCCAAATCCTTCCCATGAAGTGAAGATGAAAAAAGAACTAGTCTTCAATTTGGTTCATAGTCTGAGAGTCATTCAAAGGAGGTAGGTATGCTTTCTTGGTTGTATTCAAATCAATGGGACTTAGGTTAGTCATTACTAATTTGACCCATTCATTCATTTGTAAGTCATCCTGAGATATTCTGGAGGGGACAGGATAGAAAAGCTTTTAATTAATAAATAAAAATAAATTTCAATAGAACTTCAGTAGGATTCAAACTAAGCATGACTAGCCTAGTCTGAATCCAAACCACAGGAACTGCACTACAGGATAAAGATTAACCTTGCCAAATAAAAATGAATTAAGAAATTCAATTCTTGTTGAACTATTTATTATGAACTATTATTTTCTGTGATGCAGATGTTACAACCAAATTACTTTACCTTAACACTTCGTCCAAGCGTAGAACTGCTGAAATGGGGTGATACAGAAGGAGCTGTTTTCTTGCGTGGCAAAGTATCACTCATGTATGGCCCCTCTTTGTGCTGCTTCTTTCTCTCTTCTAGATTTCGGAAGTGCTTAAAATATATAAAATGCTGATGTGATTATATGGAAGCTGCAGGCTGTAAGTATCATTTCTTTCTTTTGTTCATTTGTTCTAAATCATGTGCAGGTTTGTCCAAAAAAAAAAAAAAAAGACAGGACAGAGTATCCAAAATGTCTCGAAGTGTGTAAAACTTACAGCATAGGGAATAAAAGCTAATTATACTACAATATTAAAATGTCTATTGAAAAGTAGGAAAGTATGTTTGTCAGGGATAGCAAATTTGAGAAGTCTGGGAGGCGTTTTCTCCCCCTGCATGTTGCAATCTGCCCTGAAACAATTTGTACTTGTATAGCACTATGGAGTACCACAAGAGTCAAATTTAGCTTTCTTGCAGAATTTGGCCCTGTGTCATGCTCCTGATGCTTTTTTAACATTATTAAGAAAAAAAATCCAGGACACCCTGCAAATTTGACCAATGTGACAAGGTTCAACAGGGACTGCATGATGGAATACTGCATGTTGAATCCATCGAATACTGGATTACAGCTACCAACCATGTCCCACTGTGCCAATGATTTATACAAACAGTGTAAAGATAAGCACTAATTTATGTGATAAATTAACAGGAGAATTCCTTGAAGAAGTCTCACTATAACTGAAGAGATTTGCACAGGCGACAGTCTTATTGTTTTGTGATCATATAGCCCATGGGGATGGCTAACATAACCAAAGAAAGTTAAAATTTGTTTGACATAACATAAAATTTGTTATGATAAGAAGAATTCCAAACAACAGGAGAACTGAAAAGCACTATGAACATGAAACAGTGCTACAGAAATAATGGCAACTATCATTTGAGCAAAAGGCAAGTTATCAGGCCTACAGAGTTGCACTGGTATTACGATTTGATCCACTGTGGGGCACCATTCAGTGGAGATGTCTGTAACTGCCTGAACTCAAACGTTATAGACATCCTATGAACAATGGGGCGGGGGGGGGGTGAAGAATTGAAGCCCACCTCTGCGCTCCTCTCACTCTGCAAAGTGCATAAATGGCTGATTATGGCTGTCTCCATGCAACTTCAAGATGGAAGGGAAGGAAGCTGTGGTGCCATGATGGTATGTTGCATTTTGGTGGTGTTGGTCTCCTCCCTGTCCCCTCCAACGCCCCAAAACTCTTCTCCCAGGTTGCTCTTACAACCTTGGAGAAGCCACCAGCATCACTCTTTGAGTTATTTTCCAACCTTGTAGCTGAGAACCCAAACAATCCTATGGCTGTTGAAATCCTATGGCAGCTGTGTAGCTGCCATAGGAAGGACATGATCATATAGGGTTTATACCCTGGTCCCATGAAAATGAGTAAGTAGCAATTCTATGGTCCCTAGGAAAATGTCCTGGGGCTCTGGGTATTTCAGAATTTCTATCTCAAAGTCATAAATACTACTAAGACCTTAGAAGGGAAAATCAGACTGCGGATTACAAATGAGGAGGGGGAGAAAGGTTAGGGAAGCTGACATGGTTATGCAAATCCTGAACCTTACTATCCTACTCAAAAGCAAGGAGGATGGTTAATGTTGCCTTCACCATTTATGTTCTTGCTAGGCATCTGCTAGCAAGCACTGGATTTTCAAAGTATTCTGACTTGGAGTTATCCCTTGGAAAACAGAGAGTTGCTCCTAATTTATTAAAATGAAAGGACACTGTACAAAGGCATCACACTTCCTTAAACTGAGTTTGTTTTAAATGTGAAATTACCTAATGCAAAGCCAGATGTTAATTCTAAATACTGGGTTGCATCCACACATACTACTCCATTTATAGGAGGGTTCTAGAAAGACCTTCATATTTACAGAAAATGTTTCATGAATGCAGCAGTAAGAATGATTCCAACCTGTTGTCCTGCATTTTTAGTAAATGTAATCTGAGACATGCACTTGTGTTTTTAGCAGCTGAGCACATGCAAAATACTAAAACAAAGCAAGCAATTCGGAATAAGCTCTTTAAAACATGTTTTAAAGCTAATACAGTATTCCTATGCCTATCCAACAAAGTAAACAGCAACTGTAATGTTATTGATAGCATTGTTTTTAGATTATTTGTGAATCATTATCTATAGTATATTTCTCTGGTTTTGTTAATTAAAACAATTTACTACTACTACTACTATTATGCTGCTTTCATTAATATCAATAGACAAAACATCTGGAAGAAAATAATGACCTGTAAAGCTTATATTGATTAACATCTTGTTTAACTGCTGGTGTCCACATAACAAGGAGTAGATGGCTATTTATTTAATTTTATTTTGGTTATGTGTGGAACTCTGTCAGTCTGAGTTTGATGCACTTATCCAACTAGGAATAGTACACACATGGAAACAAGTTGCTGACGGCGTATCTCAACTGCGCATGTACACATGTATATGTGTGAGAGAGAGCGAGAGGAAGAGAGAGGTGGGGAGAGCAAAGGATTTCCATCTGATCCAGTAACTTGCTCTGTGCACATAAAGTTTTTAAAGAAACTGCTAGAATTCCATCAGTCAACCATAAGGAAATGGGAGTGAAGCACTGGATTCAGACCCCTCACTTCTCTTTCCCCTCCAAGCAGCCTGAGCCCTGACTCTCTGCATGCACTCCACTGGATTCATGCAGAAAGTCCATGCAAAGTTAACTATATATCAAGGTGACCTGCTTCTAGGCATGTTACCTGTGATTGCCTTCGGTGTTTCTTAGCTGGAAGAGGAGGTGGTGTGTCAGGTAAAGGTATAGGCTCTACATTTGTAGCCCTGACCTCAGGCCAGTGGGCTGGTGAAAGTTGTGCAAGAGGGCGAGGAGAAAGGGAGTGAGGAGACATAAATCCAGAACAGAGAGATGCTCTTAGCTTTATAGGAAAGAAAGAAATTATATTCAGAGTGTTTAAAAACATATAAGCTGCAGATATAAATAAGAGTAACAGGTATATTGTGGCATAAGCTTTGTGAACTAAGAGCCCGCTTTGTCAGATGCATGAAGGGTTATCAACAGTTGATAGATGAAGAAAAATGAAAACTGCATTTGTTGGAGGTGTTTGGTTACAGATTTGTGATAGTCTAATAAGAAAAATGGGTGGTTTTATCCAGACCACACACACACACACACTAAAGAACAATACAATGAGAAAGACTTTTTTTTCAGCCAAAAGTCTTTTCATGGCTGAACCATTTAGACTAAAATTAGGCATCCCAAACTCAACTCTTGTTGCTAAAGAAAACGGGAGAGTCTTTCTTAATGGCAATCTACATGTGCAACCAGAAAAAACCTGAGCAAGCTTTGCCTCATGAGGCAGCCCATGCTCTATCTTCTTCTCACATGGCTAGGAAAAGGAATAAACTCAAATTTGGTTTCACCTAGGATAATTTCTAGTTAATGTGAACCAGCCATCATGGTCTACTAAAAACTATCAATTGCTACCAAGCTATATTTAAACCATGGTCTAGAATTTATTGTAACTGTGGTTCCTGGTCAACACATAATTACAAGCCATGGTGAGTAAGAGCTGGAATTCTGGTTTATTCCTCTTCGGGCTGTTGAGGAAAAGAGGGCAGGGGGGAGCATGTGACCCCAGACTCAACTGGGCTCTTTCCGGCTTGTATACAAGGCACTGGAATTAACCAGTTATAGAAGCAAGTTTACCTCGGTAAGTAAAAAGTATTGCTTGTCAGATAAGAAAGTTTTTTTCTGTCTCTTCCTTCATGCCCCCTCATGAGATAATCAAAAAGTGGGGAAAGCAGCCAGATTTAATATTCTACTGAAATAATATTAAATATTTCTCTTTGGCTGTACAGCATGGATGGGCAATATGAGGCCTGAGAACTGCAATGTGGTCTCTGGCCTGCGGTGCAGCTATTGAAGTGCCACAGGGATTTGTAAAATAAAGAAATAAAACCAGCAGATTAAATTTTACTGAATTCCAGCAGCAAAACTACTATAGAGGATTAGAACTCACAAACTTAACTTTAATTTAGTCTTTAAGCCCCTGTAGTTCTTGCTGTTGAATTGTTTGATAGCAGTGGGTAGTTGGCTGCCAATATATTTATTTATTGGCTGCCACTACCAAATTTTGGCTTAGGGGTGAGTGGGGAAGCAGCCTCTACATTCCCCAAGTTGCCCATTCTCGCTTAATTATATATTCTACAAACTTAACCCATTGCACAGGAGCAGGATTATATACTTCAAAATAACTTGGCTGACTTGGATACTGAATGTTTTCCATCTCAGGCAGCAAACATTTTGGGCAGTTCCACTGGGCAGTATCTTATTTATCTGAATACGACCTCTTGCTGATTTTGTTGTTCTCTGGAAACAAAGGCAGGCAGGCAGCAGGGACTGACCCCTACTGGAATATTTTTTCCTAATTTACTTTATACAGATTCTACCTCCCTTGTATTTTCTCCTTCCAGTGAGCAGGAGGAGGAAAGGTACAGAGGAGTCTAGAACATATAAATGAGATTTCTACCTAAACAGTACATAAAGTTAATTTCGCTATCTACCCAAACCCCTTTAACTGTAAAAATAATTCAGTTTCATGGTTAACTTCCAAACACCAAGGGAAAAAAATGTCGAAAGCAAAATGTATACAAATGGGAAATGTCTCTTAAACAAACCTCTGTATTTTGTGACTGGCTCATCAGGCCAGCTGTGGAAGGTTCAGTGGGAACAGCATCAGCAGCAGAGGGGGGTTGAGTGGAAGGGGTTATATTCGAGGAATTACCATACGGCTCACTAATGTCATTTACACTCATATAACCCTAAAAGGAGGAATTCAGAAGTTAAACATAAAAAAGAAGCAAAAGCCAAAAGGCATGCAAAGGTATTAAGGTTCCCATTTTGCTGTGAAAGTTAGTTTAGAGTGATCCAGCCAATTCTCTGTGCTCCATTAAAATATTTTTAAAAATCATCAAAGTTACATACACTGGAAATTAGAATGCTTTATTGCAAACAAAATCTTTTTCAAATGTTCATTATAGATGAAGTATTTTTATAATAATCTACAACCATTGCAGTTCAAATGTTGCTTAGCATGTTTAAATAACAGGAGCAAAATATGAACTGCCAAGTACCAAATAAAATTCATCCTATTTCCCTCAAATAACCAGATGTATGGTCAGTAGGACTCATTTATGTATACATGCTGTATCAGACTAAAGGCCTGTTAGTTCACTGCTCTGTTTCCTCTGTGGCTAACCAGATATCAAAAGACTCTAACAAGCAGGACGAATAAAAGAGCATATTCCTGCTAGTGTTCCCTAATATACACTCTATTAGCGCTATCAACCAAGAATTTGTCGTATCCACTTTTAAATCCATCCAAGCTGATGGTCATCTACAACTTGGGGTAGAAAATTTCATAGCTAAATGTGTGAACAAGTACTACCTTGCATTTGTCCTCAATCTCCCAGCAATCAGCTTTGCTGGGTGAACGCAGGTGCTAGTATCCTTAGATGATCTCTCTTTTTTTCATAACATGCTTTATTTGTACACCTCCATCATGCCCCTCCTTACTTGCCTTTTTTCTAAGCTAAAATGTCCCAAACAGCATAACCTTTCCTCACAGGGCAGATTCTCCAGCTCTCTTATTATGCTGCTTTTTATATTCTGCACTTTTTCCAATTCTACAAGATCTTTTTTTGAGGTGCAGTGAGCAAATCTGAACACAGTATTCTAAGTGTGGTCACACCGTATATTTATAGGAAGGCACTATAATATTGGCGATTGCATCTTTTTGCCTTTATCCTCAATTTAGTGCTGCAGCCCATCTAAAGCATAACTACCAGGGCAACCCTTTCACAATAAGGTGCTTTTGTGCGGTATCACCCTGCATTGTTTTGGCTATTTTGTTTTGCATTGTTTCGTCTGAACAGGAATTCAGCTGACAAGGCAAAAGCACCAAAAGGCATTTTATATTATTTACTTGCAACATACGTGACTGCATTTGCAGAACCTACTATATTGAAACTATATGTAATTGCATCTCTTACTACTTAACCGCTCCCTTCAAAGTGGGATATATTTTACTTTCTGCTATTCTTTCATAAAATACATTAATGATTTTGCTTCTTTACATTAAGGGGGTTAGAGCAGCTGTGATTTTCAGTTAAAATATAAACAATTTAAGGACTTAATTAGCAGCATCAGCAGCAACAGCAGCAGGAAGATTTTTAGGCAAAAGCAAGCATTGGAAGGATACACTAGAAGAAACTGTGTTTTTTTCCCCAAATCTAATGGAATGCAATTCCTGAATTCCAACTACAATTCTAGGAGCACTGTCAGAAGAGTGTATAGTCTAGACATTAACGGTTATGTGTAAATATTCTGGGTGTTTTGCTTCATTTTTGAAGAAATTCAATCTCATTTCGAAATGCACACTTACTACTCCTCAAGGGCTTGGTTATCATACAACTGCATGAATGGCATCTGCCAATACACAGACATGGGTACATGTCTGTATATTGTCACTTTTGGTAGTTTTCTGTAGCAAACGTAGGGATACCATGCCACTATGCCACTATGAAACAGACATAAGGACATGTGCTGGCCAATGGACAATGCATACAAAACAACAAGAAGTACCCTACACAAAACAGAAAAATAAACCAGATGGGCATGATCAAATTTTGTAACAATCCTGCTTAGGTAAACTGACCATATTTAAAATATAAATAATTAAAATTCCACAATCACCAGTAGCCCTTCAATAGGAAATTGCAATTGTCTATCATTTTCCACTGAACAGTATAACACATGTTGCTATATATTACACTCTATTATGAAAAATACAGCAGTAACCATTTCCTCCCTCTCTCCTTTCTCCCAGGCTTTCTCCCATTACTTACCTCTTTCAGACTGCTGGGACTTACAGGGAATCCCTTTCCTCCTGAGAGGGAAGAGTATTTCTTTTCTAGATTACAAAGGTTCTCTTTCTCCTGTTGAGAACAGATCAAAGTTATATTTTGTGTTCAGTGTGAAAATCACTCCTCTGAAGAGGAGATCACAAACTGTCAGCCACGGATCACAGTTCCTTTCTTTTTGGAAAGAACAAAACTAGAATAAGAAGTAATGAAATTTGAATGGTGATTCATCTGGGAAATTGTTCACAATTAAATTGTCCTCTGCATATGTGTGTTCTTTTCTTCCAACTCTTTAACATCTATTATCTCTCTGTGTATTTAAGATTACATTTCATGCAATCAACATGTTTGCTGTATGTATAATGGGTGCCAGCAGCAAACTTGTAAGGTTTGGGTAACACACAACCTAAGTATATGAATCTTTAATCATGTACATGCCCCTTCTAATCCTGCACATGCCCCTTCTAATCCTGCTTAGACCAGGTACCCTACAATGCACATACATGGACATTTAAAATCCTCAGCACATGCAGAGATGTCTTCCACATCTGATATGTTTACAATGGAAGGCACACACATCAAAAGTAGAGCTGCTCTCCATTACCCAATAAAAGAGATCCTTTGGTTTCATTTAGCAACTTCAGGAAATCCAACATATGCATTCTTCAGAAAACAGAATGCTGCGAAGATCTGCCAGTTTTTTAGACTCCCTCACTATCTTACATATTTCTCAGTTTCAATTACTCCAGTTATATAGATTCCACAAGAGTATTCAAGAGTATAAAAGCAACTTAATATTCAAACCTCATTTGTAAATGGATAAAAAACACTTGAAACAACTAAAAAAATAATAATTTGAGACTTAAGGATAAAGCAAGTATAATTCAGGTAGACACACTACCAACTTAAAATTTATTACTTTCAGTATAACTAAAGCAAAAGAACCACATAGATCAATAATGTTCTGAAGGAAAGATTTTAAGATCATGAGCTTCCTCTCATGATCCCATCCAATGCCTAATTTAGACAGTCTGACTCCTATATGTTGATTGATCTGCCTGTGTTTTCATTCCAATGCTTATTATTTATAGTATTCTGTTAAGTGCTTCAACACACAAAATTCTGAAACAGAAATATTTGTTTTTCTGCAATTGTTCATTTGTTTGTTTTAAACTTTGTGTTTGTCATACAACTCCTTACCCTTAGAACTGTTATGGCTTAGTTTAGTAAACCTTTTGTTAAATGATAGCACCAGTTGATAACAACATTAACATCTTTGACGCTATCACAGATCATCTATGTGGCTCTGGGATTCTTTTAACCTTCATCTAGGGTCATTTTCAACCCTAGCATTCCTTCCAAATGAGGTGATTTTGTCACCCCCAAACAAAACTGCTTCAGGCAAGGCAAATGCTCAAAGGGCCTTGACTGAATGTTTTCCCCAGGAAGTTTGAATCAGCACTAAGAATGAATTACAGGTTCAGCTCTTACAGATAATTTAAGACATAATCTTTCCTGCAGCAATGAATAACAATAACATTTGTTTAATAATGATAGTGACCTTCAATCAACTTCAATTCAGCATAAAATGGGTTTTAATTCTTCTTTCTGGTTTCAGTCTCCAACTGTTGCCTTTCAAGAGACTAAGATGAACTGTAGTCAAACTCCTCCTGAACCTCCTTTCTCTGGAGCCACAAAAGCACCTCACCGGCCTTTTCTTATGTAAATTTTGGAATATATTTGCATCTCAACCATGTTTTAGTTTATAGAAAGAAAAATATAGATGGCAGTTTGGGGATAATTTTAACCAGAGTGCATCTGACAATGTCCCAGAAGGACTAGATTGTATGTGTAAATTACAAAACAAAATGTTAGCCTGGGATCATCCATGCACTCCACTATGTAGAATGGATTAGAAAATCAAGAAAAAGTGCTCACCCTTTGCAACATCATTAGCAGGTTATTCTTCTCTTTGACAAAATGATCTTGTTCTCTTTGTGCTTGCTGGACAATATGATTGGCTTGTTTTTTGAGAGCAGAAATTTTCTCCTGTTATAACAATAGAATCAACACATGTTCATTGAGAGTTTGGGAATATACTCTCTGCAACAAAGATCCTCTTCACCCAGAAAGTACTCACATGAGGTGCTCCTAGTACTTGTGATGAAACTTATTAGTTGATAAGTAACTGTATTTATGGATTGTTCAGTCAAGGATTGAACTATACTAATAGCTGTAGCAACTGCCTGAACACTGAGTGCACTGAGAAGAAGGCACACTGTTTTATATAAGCAAATGGTGAGCTTTTCTATCTTATGTTGTTAACTGACCGATAATCCACTGAGTCTACTTTCAGTTTTGCTGCAGAACTGAGGTGCAAGAACAAAAAAGGTTTTCCTTTCACACTTTCCTACCACATGCCATCTAGGTGGCACTGTGGTACAGCAGAATAAAACAAACACACCAGACAATATCATGTTTTCTTTCACAATTAGAAGTTGTATTTTCCCTGCCTTAAAAATGCAGCAAATGTGCTGATTAAAAAACAGAAGTGAAACTGTAAGATCCCAAAATTATCCATAAATATCCTTGAGAAGGGAATGATGCATGCTCAAAAAATGCCTCAGCTAGAAAAGCCCCATATTTATCTTTACAGTCTGCAAGAATGGATTACAGCCTGCTGCATGCCAGCTGTTAAAGAAAATAACCAAGTGCTAAACTTTGTAAAATCTAAACTATATAAGGATTATTTAAATCATTGTTCTCCTTTCATAGAATTCTTACTGGCCATATTTAGAACAAATGAGAAGAACTTTAGCCACAGTGGATTCTGAACTGGAATCAAATCTCAAAAAGGTAAAATCCGCTTTTCAAAACAAAACAACCTTTTACCTTTCTACTGACAATGTTGCGCTGATACTCAGCTACTTCACGCAGGAGTTGCTGTGTTAAGTTCTCCTTCTCTTCATCTAACCTGCTTTCATTTTCAAGCTGCTGAAATTCTAGATCCTCAAAGTGCTTGCTTTCTACCTCCAACAGGTCAGCATCCTTTAATAATAAACACCAGTGTGAATTTTTCAAAGCAGATACAGTGTTAGCAAAAACAGACCTGCAGAACAAAAGTAAAGCCCAGTTATTTCAAGAGATGGTGTTTAATAAAGCTGGTTCCATAGCAAAAAAAGAGACTGCTTTTTATTATAGGGATGAAACCGAATGGAGTATTAGGAAAGCAATCCTGCTTCCATGTAGAGATGTGTACCACTGTAATCCGAATCCTGTGGATAAATGACGAGTATACTATTAAGACAGTATTGTAGCAACACAATTTAGAGACATAATTCTTGTCTACAGTTACCATTTGCTAACAAATATTTAAATAACCAAGCAGTAAATTATCTCTCAAAATTCTTCAAACATTTTATGGATTTCCATTTATAATGATGTTTTTTATATGAAAAAGATGGTTTTACACCGAGGATGACTCTGAACTGGAACTTTTTTGTTGCATTTTATTTCAGCTTATTGTTCCAGTACTATCTTTAAACATTTCCCATATATTCATACTGACATCTCTCAGAATTGTGGAATTTGTTCCACCCTATCAACACCCAACCTACATACTGAATTTTTTGACTGAAGCAGTTTCTACATAGTGGTCAATGGAAAAAGTGGGGGAAGGTGAACCTTGTGACAAAACAGTGAAGCAAATTCAAAGAAACTGTGGAGCAGCATCGTGAGGTACCCAGACTTCTGAAAGGTCAGAAACCTTCCAGAAACCAGAGCAAATGCCATGTCCTCTTTGAGGAATGAAAAGGCTGTTAGGTAAATGTATTTGTACAAATTCATATGAAAAAGCATTTCAAAAAAGGTTATGCCTCCAAACATGATGAAAGAGAGACAGAAAAGTGCCTGTGGGGAGAGAAACCACAAGGTTTTTTGTCCTGATTAATTATGAGAAGGTTTCTATTGCTCATCAAGATAAAAAATATTTGAAAAACAAAACAAAGAACAATGCCCCCACTTAAGGAAGGGTGCATCAAACAGAGACAATGTTTGCAGGACTGGTCAACCACAAGTATTAGCAAGATCAGCTCTTTGTACAAGTATCAGCATCAGATAATATGAAAGGAATATACTTGCAAATGGCTGAAAGTTAGACATTAATCACAACAGCAGCATCCAGTGATAGCTTTACCTTAACAGAAATCTAGTCTGCTTACACAAATTGGGATGTGCTATTTTTGATGTGCTATTTTTGATATTATCCTGCCCTTCCCACTGTTCCTGAGAAGCTGCTCCTAGGAAAATAGTTGCAAACCCTGCCCTCCTGGGCAAGAGTCCTACAAGGCAACTTACAACAATTTAAAAAACAACAAAAATTTGAATTCAAGACTGCAAACGTCCTGAGTTGTGACAAACATATGGAATTATCAAATATAGTTGAATAGGTAAGAAACAGCTTTTCATGGTTGAAAGGAAGTTCATTTCATGGCAGATTTAAACTTTAAAAATCTGGAGGCCAATTTGCAGTTCTGAAAAGAGAATCTTAAAAACAAGTGTAAATGTAAAAGGAATTAACTATTACATTATCATAATTAGAGTAAAAAAATATTTTCTTCACTTACACCTCAGTGCGCTAAACTCCTCACACACATATCTAATTAACCAAAGGCAAAAAGCTACTAAGCATGAACTATTTGACAACTCTCCAAGTATGTAACACAAAACAATTTTCAATCCACCTCTTTGCATTCCAATTATTTATCACCATGCAATACTCTTATTAACAATGCAGAAAACCAATATTTAACCCCTGAAACAACAGGCGGCCAGCAAGAACTCTCTGACACTTGTGCTATACCTTGTTATAGTCAACTAAAAGAGTGGGGAGGAAAGGATCCATGCTACTGACCCTGTTTAGCTGCTGTTGTAACTGTTCCCTCATGGACTCAGGGCAATTATCAAGCTGGGTCTTCTGCTCGGAGTAAAGCTCCTGAAGCTTTTCTAGCTTTTCCCTCTGAGCATCAAGCTTTATTTTTTCCTGGAGTTTGAACCAGAAAAATAAAGAACAGAATTACCTTCAAACCCAAGCAGTTGTTAGTGGTTTTGATGGTGCACCGGGTGGGGTGAGGGATAAAGGGATGGGATGGAATTTGATCAGCACTAGAGGTCACAGCAGGAATGCTTCACATGCTGGGGACGGCAGCAAATATGGATGTTCTGGAGCATGAAGGCACAGTAATCTAAGTATCATTTTAATAAACCTAGCAAATGCCAAATGAAGGTTAGCCAACATATTACAGGTATCCAACAATATATATTTTTGTTACAACTCAGACATGAAACGTGAGTTTTACACCTTATAAAATAGATTTAAATGATGGATTCAGAAAACTGGGTGCCCTGGGACAGCCGCACTAAAAAGCATCCCTGCAGCTTCAGAAAGGTGGTAGTGCATGACTACAGGTTAGCGCTGCTGCTTGGTGAGCTTTTAAGCAGCTGTCACATTTCATGTGGCCACTGAATCCACCCTCAGATCACAGCCATTGAAATATAATGTAACAGGAGTCGCAATCACACTATCGCTATCGTATGTTGTGCCAGTGTAAGGAGCATCTAGAAAAATGCCAACAGCATTTGCTGCCATGACAGGTTTTCCCGGGAAATTCATCATGCAGGCAAATACTGCTGTGATTGTGCCAGAGGCTACTTATTCTGGCAAAACATAACTTGCATTAGTGGGAGTGCCACACTGAATGCTACTCCTTGATTCCAAATCTTTCAAATTTATCTGAAACCATAATTGCTGACAATGTCAATAAGTTCCCAGGTAAAATGGGATTGTACCACCAATTAAAATGGAGAAAGACAGCATTCTTACTTTTTTCTTTTTAAACAGAAGCTGGATCTAAATATGCCCCGTGGACCCTGGAAAAATTAGGTGCCACGTGCAGCTTGTGGGCATACTTGCTGCCCAATTTATGGTTCTGCCCCTTTAATTAATTTTAGATTATATGAATATATTGCTAAAACTCAGACATTCTTAATTAGTAGGAACTAATCAAGTTAAGAGATGGGGTTATAATTTGACTACAAGAATCAGTGCGGTAATCATTTTGCTTCTGCTTTATAGGAAATGCCCTTTAACACTTCCAAAATCAATGAGGACTAGCTATTTAGTAATAGAGGTGATAGCATGTTAGTTTTCAAATGAGAGAAAGTCAGCAAAAGATAAGATCTCAAAAAGTGAACTAAATGGGATATTATCCTAGATGACACAAAGAGAATAGGTAGAAGCATATGTGTAATGGCCTTTAATACAGTTTGTAAGTGGCAATAGGATGATCTGAGGCAGAGCACAGAGAAGGAACTGGTTTGGAGCAGGAAATTCTGTTTCACAGTAATCAAATAGGCTGAATTAACAGAATTGGTTCAATTCCCCTTAAGGGAATACTGCCCTGATATCTGAGACAAATTTGGTTCTCAGGCATTTAGGACCTATTTGAAAGATGTAGATTTAAAATCTTTGAAATTTAATCTTTGTAACCTGTCCAGAGAGCTTCAGCTATTCATCAATATGGAGATGCAATAATAAATGAGATGAAATGCAGAAGAACTAAATACTTTAGGCAGTCAAAAAGAGAGAAATCTCAATCACGTTTAATCAACTACAGGGTATAAAGACACTCAGGACTTAGGGGAAGGTAGAGCTGCAGATGCTTTGGACATCAACCCTCAGTACTCCTGGCAACTGGCCACAGGGTACTTATAGTTCAAATCATCTGGTGATCTACCTTCTGTCTACTGCTGCCCTGGACTGTCTCTTAAAATAACAGCTCCTTTACAGTTATTTATTTATTTAAACTTTAAAATACTGGGTAAATAAAAAGGTCTTGACCTGGCACCAGAAAGTAGTGTCGGTGCCAGACAGACCTGTCTGGGGAGCGCATTCCATAGCACATTCCAAAAAGTCATACCCTTTTCAGTTTTTAAGAGTGAGTTCCTTTTTATAGCAGAAGAATGTAGATCTCAAATTTCAGAATTTGTGGGAAAATTTCCCACTTTCATCCATGTTTATATAACAACAGAACTGCAAACATCACCCAGTCCATCTGCTTACTCAACAGTGATCCATAATCAATATACACATCAACTTATAATCAGTGTTGCCAATACTTACCGTTCCTGTACTTATTATAGTCATAACCCACCTCCAATGGACCCAAGGTAGCTTATGTAGTCCTCTTCCTACTCTCCATTTTATCCATGTTTTTCTGTTGTGAGGAAGGTTACTTACATTCATTGATCACTAAACATCCACTGGTACCAAAGTGGTTAACGAGGAGATATTCTTAGCCTGAGAGACTCTTTTGAAACAACCAAAGTTACTTCAATCTAATAGCTGTGTGCGGATGAACCATCCTTTCGCAATGGTTTAAATCAAGCCTTTTGTTTATTATTTTGCCTTAACAACTGTCAGGCTTCATAAAGCTTTGGTCTTTATCTCAATAGTACTTCAAATGTAGAGCTAGGTTCCACCCTTCCATTCACTCACCACTTTTAAAAATGAAAAAGAAATACTCATCTCATTAAATTAAAGATGCTCAGGAAAGTATAATTGCTATAGTTCAGGTCTAACAATGAGATCGTATGCACACAAAGCTACATGCCACTGGGAAAAGAACTTCTTGCATTAAGAGTAGACTTAGCAATTCAGTTAACAATGATTAATGCACAGATCATCTTGCATTACTCCCTTCCCAACAGACCTTCCTGCATCGTCAAGCTTCAGTTCCAACTGGTATAATTTGTGTTGTGTGTGTAAAAATTCACAGTGTGACAGAAATCCACACCATGAATAGTTTTATATGTTACGGCTCAGCTATGGATCACTCACCACTAGAGGTCACTTTGCGCTAGCATTCCTGTGTTATCTGTAATGTATCTTTTGGGTACACACCTGCACAATGCCCCAGGGGGCTGAGGAAGAACATACTGGCATCATATGCATAGTGCAAAGAACAGTTTTGAAGAGGGATAATTACGTAAGGACAAAGTGACCGAGTTAAAACACATTTTTCCTGGTCCTTCACATTTCAGTTCCTTGTGCCAATGTGCTATTTCTGACACTTAAGTCTTATACAGACATGGAAAGATAAACAGTAGGGGTTGGAGGAAGATATTACCCTGTCAGGATACCCAAAGTAAAAAGCTATTGGCAGAGGGGCTTAAATGCATAGATAGAAATTATGCAACTGGTATATTACTTTATACATGGTGTTCTGATTACAGAATTTGTATCTGTACATGCTGTGCAGATGTGCTGGTCCACACATGGACCGTGGGCACACCAAAGCAGCTGGACAGGAAGGCAGAGCTACAGTTCTCTCCATGCTTCAAAGAACACAACGCTTTAATGCTGTTTTCTCTGGCCTAAAAATGGTGGGAGTTATGCTCTAAGACTTCTGGAGTTCTCCAGTTTGGGAAAGGCTGCTTGAAAGTTTCACAAGTCTACATCTATACAACTGTTAGCCATGCAGGTTTAAATTAACTGCCCTGGACAATGAAATTCCTGGTAGAACTGGGATGAGAAAATAATCTAAAGCAGTCGATCCCAGATGAGGAAAAAGGCTGCAAGTGAATTTTTCTGTTTCCTCATTGCAGTTACTTCTGCTAGATTAGGAAAACCCATGAAATGATAACATTTATTAGAGTGAATTCCATTCTATTTCTGATCTTGCTCATTGCACACCCAAAAGAAACTTCAAAATACAAGAAACATCCTTAATTTTTCTGGGATGGGGAGCATGCCATGATAAAGCCAAGAATGAATTAAAAATAAGAACATGTTCTTGTAATGGCTTAGGTGTAGGAATGAAAGAGAAAGTATGGACTAGCATACTGCAGTCCATGAAACAAACAAGCTCCTAAATCTGGAATAGGGTTATGTCAACTGCAACCTCACTGCAGCTGCTCTGCATTGGGATAGCAGTCCTGCTTGTGAAGCAAAGTAAGCTTTGCAAATAACCACATATACCACAGGCAGTGATAACTCTAAATAATACCTCCAACTGTCCAAAAAGCTATTGTGTCTCTACTGTTTATACACACTGAATTTTCTGAATTCCAAGAGCTTCTATTTCAACCCCTTTTCTTTGCTAGAGTAACAAGGAGCTATAGAGAAGCTACCATAGCTTATTAGTCACTGATGCTAAATACAAGAGTGTCATTTAGCTCAACTTACAGGGGAAGCCATTAATTTGGAAAACTAACAGCTGCATGCTATGGACGGACAAGGAAACCTGACACCAGGTGGAAGAGCCATTTCCTTTTTCATTTTAAGACACAGCATCCCACTAAGAGGCATGTTTATGCTTATACCAAAAGCAACATCATCTATGGAACAACAACATGATTACAAACACAGTAGTTTTGCTTAATGAGCAAGAAGAACACAATCCTTTCTTTTAAAATAAACACCCACCAGGTCAGCCATGTGAACAAGTCTAGGTTGAAATCCTAAGACACACTTCTCAGTAAGCACCATTAAACCCAGTTGGACTTTATTCTAAGTTAGCATATACTGGAGAGTGCTGCATATTTAGTTCACAAACTAATTCATTTCCACCCCTAGTCTGCACTCATTTTTATTTGATGTACTTACAATTACATTTGTATGCCACTTTTATCTCTTGCTGAAGGCAGCATGCACGGTGCACTTCCTCAGTATCTTATCCTCACAACATCAGCCTTGTCAGGTAGTTTTTAGGTCAATGGTTAGTGACTGACCCGAAGTTCCCCAGTGAGTTTCATGGCCAAACAGAAACTTGAACCCAGATTTTCCAAGTCCCAGCCCAACAATACAGCACACTGGCTTATGACGGTAAACTTAACATTTCAGAAATTCTGTGCTAACTTTGGCTTGAATCCAAAGTAGTCCAACTCACTTCATTTATTTCAATGAACCTACTTTAAGTAAGACTAACTTTGGATACAACCCATTAAGCTAAGGATGTGATTCACAGGGAGTATGTTCAAGGA